ACAGCAATACCACCACTGAGCTTTAACCATCTACTATAACAATGGAGGGATTCTGTGTTTCTTGTTCTTTCTTGAAAGTTAGTGTGAGAGTAAAACTCTCATCAAGGGTGTTAACACGAGGGCAACCAGGTAGCCACACATGGAATGTAAATATTGGGGTGTTTATGTGATTATCTTCCTTTAGTTCCATTTCCTGAGTGACCATATGGTATGATGGTTAAGGTAGGGTCCTCTGGGGCCACATTTAGATTGGAATATTGACCTGATACTTACTAAGTGCATGAACATGGCAACTTCAATTAATTTTCCTCTCTGTTTTCTCAAGTACAAATCAAGTATAATAGTAATATCTCCCTTCACAAAATTGTCGTGAGGGTTAAATAAAAACAATATATGTATAACAAGCACTTAGCAAGCACTCCATAAATTCAATACATCAAAATTAGCCTTTCCTAGACTAGTTTTTGGTGGTCCTCTGGCAATCCAGAAAAGCACTATTGGCTCAAGACAAAGGAGGGAGAAATCACAGTCTGATATGATAGGAAAGACCCATGACCTTCTGGGATTTGCGTTGGTAGCATGCATGTACCTCATCTGATTTGGGCATGACTTGGTAAAAAATGTCTTTAAAAAGATGATTATTGAATAAAAAAAATAATTGCCAGAATATTGAACATAACCCTCATCCCAACCCCAAAATTAAACCAGAAATGTCAGAAGTGAGTCTGCTAAAGGAGTTCCATGCAACAAGGAATAGTGCTTTGTACTCAGCACCTGTAACCAAGAGGTGGTGAGAAAGCCTCTAGGAAGTTCCGTTGGATGATGCTCTGTAATATCAATTTATCTATCTGTTGCCACTGTCTGAATTCAGATCTGTAATAACAGTACTATGGCAATAATCCTTTGCCTGGCAATTGAGTCTACAATTTCTTCCTGCTTCAAATTCTACTTCACAACGTTCCACAAGAATCTTTACAATTCTGGTAAAGTTACCTACCTCTTCTTGCTAGAAGATCTTCAGGGTCTCAAAAATTTTTTTTTCATATTTTTTTTTTTTACTGGTGCATTAAAGTTGTATGGGATTTGTCACTACACATTCGTGTGTGTACGTGATAGAGAAATATAATTTGGCCAATATTATTCGACAGTATTTCAGATTCTCAAAATCGACTAGAGATGAAAGACAACACATCTTGATATGGCATTCATGACTTTTTAGGTTCTCGCACCAACCCCTCTCATCGTCTTCAGAACATCAAGTTATTGTTGGTCCGTAAGTGCTAAGTTGTCCCTACATCCTTTAGAGACAACTAATAATTTCATGCTGTATTGCCTTTTTTATATTTCCTTCACATGATTCCTTTAGATAGTCCTGAGAGGCAAGATAAGACAAGTATTTCCCATCTACTAGATGAGAAAACTGAGACCGAAATGGAGTAAGTGATTTCCCCAGGATCTTAACAGTGAGTTCTCCTGAAGTAAGTTCTTCTTATTTTCTGCTTTCAGGTTGCTCTGGTTCATTCACTTAGTTCTACAATATGCTTCATGCACTACCATTTTCTAGGGAGCAAGCTTTACAGCATGGAAAGAAAGTTTAACACTGAGATCACAAAAATGTAGTCCCTTAAACTGAGTCTGTTCAGACATGTTTTATTTAGTGCTCTTAAAAATCAGATTCCATGTAGATTGAAATTCTGGCCTCTCATGAAGATCTGAAGACCTGGAAACACTGGGCCCACATTCCCACATAAGCAACATGGACTCCAGCTGAGCAGAATCCAGCCCTTCGGTCAGGCATAGAGCTTGAGCTTTCTCCAGCTGCTATCACTTCATTGTGCCTGTGACTTGCTCCTCTTTACTCATTTATATTACCCACCTGGGCTACTAAGCATCTGCATTTGCAATCCTTGGTATGAAGAAAGAGAAAAAGAATCTATCCATAAGATATACATTTCAACTGAAGAAATAAAATGTAATTATTATATTTGAAGAAAGGAAAGTCTATTTTTTTTTATTTTGCATATTAAGATTTGAGTCCAGGGCAAGGTTTATAACTCAGTGGTATAGGACTTACTTAGCATACATAAGGACCTGGGTTCCATCCCTAGCACCACAGGGCAAAAAAAAAAAAAAAAAAAAAAAAAAAAAACCAACAACAGCAGGAAAAAAAAGAAAGACAGAATTTGAGTATCCCAGGAGAAACTGGATATTGTTTTGGTTTTATTTCTCATTTTTGACAACAGAGCAATTTGACCTAGAACTCTTAGTGACAGTCCTTTTGGATGGAAATCTTTGCAGGGCCTTTTAATTAGGAATTGACAGGGTGATTAACTTATAATTCACAAAAAATAAATGTGGAAAAGAGAAGTACAGGTCAATTTCTAGCTGTGTTAAACTGTAAGGACAGCACCATTGGCAAATGATTGCTTCCTTTTAACAGCTTTTCTAATTTTTCTTAATTGGATCCTTTGTTTTCTAATTGGATAGGGAGAACCGTCATATGGCTTTCAATTACTAGCTGTGGCATGGTGATCCTGTCATATGGCACATGCTAAGTAAAGTCAGACCCTCATCATATAAGATAGAATACACATCATCTCCAAGAAGCTTTTTGTTTCCGTAAGAAAGAGTGGCAACCTCCTAGATGCTGGAGAGGGGACGCTGTGCTAAGAGGGATCTATCAACTGCTTGATGTTCCAGGGAAACTGCTTAGAATTTGTGTTTCCATTTTATGGACTAGATTAGAGTTTCTATAAAAGTTTCTTTTATCATAATAAAGAAATGACTTTAAGAATACAAGATTATAATTGTATTCTTAGCAAATGTTAAAAATTATACACACTAATACACACAAGAAAAAAATAGGAGTCTCAGTGATTTGTATCTCTTGCCTACTGTTCAGAGATCCTCTAAGGAAAAAAAAAATGTTTCTGTAGGGCTTTTCTATTTTACAACCTCCACTGGATGCCTTTGCTTCTAAGATAACAATCTGAATATTTTGGCTTACATCTGACCTCAACATCTTTCTCCAGTTCTGTATTCCCAAATTGCCAAGCATACATTTTATTCCCTATTCACAGAGCTTCTTCCTTTTCTTGGAGATGTCAGGCCTTTCATGTCTCTGATTCATGCCATCCTTACTTCCTGGCATGTTGTCTGCATTTTTTTTTTTTTTTTTGGTCTGGTAAATCTCATTCATCAGTCAAGATTAGATAGAACTCCCTCCTTTTACCTGCCCAGTGAAGCCTCATCTAACTCCCCCAGGTACAACTTGATGTTTGGTCCTCTTGTCAATCAGTGCACTTCTTAAATATCTCTGTAACAGCCTCTGCTTATCCATTCATTCAAAAGTGCGTTTTGAGCATCTGTATGTATATGTGTTGAACGATGGGGCTACATGGTCCTGGTGATGGCTAAGTCCCTGATCTTGTATTGAACTGTAACAAATCCTTAGGCAATTCTCCCCCTCACCAGACAGTGAAACTAGGGAGGTTAGAAGTATACACCTTATGTATGTATCACTGGTGCTTATAATTGTGCCTGGCTCAGACTAGGTGGTTAAGAAGTGGTTGTTGGGTTTTCAAGATTTCTTGATGGGGAATATTAATCAGCTTTATAAAATCTAACTTCTTAGTGAGTCAACCTCGTATACTTACATTCTTGGCTTTAAAACTTGGAAGAGTGAAACAACCATCATTCCTGCCTTAGAGATGTTATGGAATCTGATGACCCTCTGCTGTAACCCTTTCTGTGCTTTCAGTGTGTATAAGTCAGATCCTGTGATGGGCATTTTGGCTCAGCACCTTGGAATGGTCTTTCTCCAGAGAGGAAGCACATTCTCTGATTAAATGCCCTTAGCAGGCAGGGACAGGACACAGCTGGGGTTTGAATCAGGCTAAATCCCATCAGATTGGAAATCAAGAAGCTGGTGCTTTTGAAGATTATAAATCTGGAAGGCAGCAGAGACAAGGGGCTGTGAGTCCCTGTTCAGAGCAGGTAATGCCACTTGTATTTGGCTTTCAATGCTACTTCTCTCTGGCTGATGTTTCCAGAATAACTTTAAAGATGGACTCATGTGAGGGATAAGATGTTAATGCTAGAACTACTAAATCTGCTATTCCCCCTTCAAAAAGAAATAATTAAAGTCTTGGAGAAGACCTAACTGAGAATGTCATGGAAATGAGGAAGACGAAATAGAATGCCAGAAACTCTTGTTTCATGTTTCTGTGTTTTGCTGAAAGGCATAATTACATTTTTTTTCATATAAGAATCATGTAAAGTTAGCCAATCTGTTGGCTCGCTGTTACTGGTGACTTTAGACCATGGGGTTCAGTCTCCTGTGACTTTTCTTGGCTTTGTGGTACACATATGCATCCCATTCAATGAACCACACTTCAGCATTTATGTGGATGCTTCTCTGTTCTTTGGCCATGAACCCATTTACTGGCACCTTGCTAAAATAAAGACATTTGAAAGAGGCCCATGAACCTGTCCTTCCTCAGGCAGCTCTGTGGATTCTGGAGCTGTGTGCACATCTGGCTATCTCTTGAGCAGACTCTCTCTCTCTTCCTCTCTGTACACCCCATCAATGCACACAGCCTATGCCCTGAGCTCATTATTGCTCTAAGTGTTTGCTCTTGGATCCATGCTTCACGCGTTTTATTTACATGCTTTATTTTTCATTTTATGAACAAATCGATAACTAGACTTACTCTTTATCACCCTGGATTAGTTTTATTTATTCCATTTGAATTTGATTAAAAAGCTGTCAAACATAAGTCTACATTTTTATCAGCAGAATACTTTCATAAAACCGGGCATGAGATATGTTCAGCTAGAACATACTTTTCAAAATAAAACAATGTTTGATATATTCTAGACAGTTACCCCTTTGTTTATCCATGACAACTGAAACTAACCATCAAATGGATAAAGCAATCCAAGTCTAGTCAAGTAATCCTTAGGGCATACGAAGAAAAAAAAAAAGCCTTTTAAAAAAGTTCTTTCTAGATGGATTTAATGTAATTCACCAATAAAGCATTCTCAGAAGCATAATAAAAATTCTACATAAAATGACATAGCCAGAGAAAAGGGAGACATACAGTTTGATGAAGATTCAAAATGGATGTTAACATTAAAAGTGAGCAGTCATGAAATTCCTGTATAAAATAAGGATCAAAATTGCAGGAAACTAAGTTTGCCTCTAATTTATAAGTTAATACGTTTACGGAACTACGAACTGTGTTTGTGAAAAGATTATTGAATGGAAAATGCTTTGAATTGCGATTTTTCTCCAGAGAAACTACCATCCAACATGTTGTATTTATAAATTTCACCATGTAACAATGAGAATAGCTGGACAGTATTCTTGAAAGATGAAATCTCTGTTTTGGTTCAAAACATGATCTCTTTACATTACATTTCTTAGTTATGGGCTTCTATCTTTCCATTTGCTTTTCCAGTGGACACATAGAAGTGTGGGGACATGCCTGTTGCAGCATGGATTGTGGGAAGGTAAACATGTGCACACATACCCATACTCTCAGCTATACTCACTCTGCACACCCATATCGACACATGCATGCCCTCACACCTCAAACCAGGAGTAGCATGGAGCTAGACTTCAGGGTTGTGGTAGTCCGCACACTACTTATGAGTATGAGACATGTAGGATGTACTCTCAGAGTGCTGGAAGGAACAGCAATGAAGGGGTTAATGTAGAACACGTATAGACAAATATTGTCAATTATTTTATTCAAATGTTTGGAACTTAAGCACAAAATCATCATTAAGTTTTCACAAAATGAGGCATCTGTCGCCTGAAAGGAAAAAAATATTTCAGAAATATGTTTACAGAAATGTAAAAATATTAGGCATCAAGACAGATGTGAACATATTCAGTAACTTGTCTTGTCTGTCAGTCTTCCTCTGAGTCGAAGATCTTACTGTACTCGCTCAGCATGAGCTCTGCTATCTGGTTTTGGTATACCATGTGTACTGCCATGTTCCCGCTTTCATTTTCTGCTCGAAGAAGAGTGGGTCCAAATACAATCCCTAAGCTTTGTGTGGACATGAGGTTCTTGGAGGCTTTGGCCACTATCCTGTGGAGAGAGGGGTGAAGAAAAAAAGATTCTATTGGAAATGTGAAGTAAAATTGTGGTTCCTTTGCAATTAAATTTTTTTTAACTCTGGTAAAACAGAGTTAGAACACTTATAACATTATTTAATTATCTATATTTATTTCATGTTTTTCAGTGTGGAAGTAAAAAGGATACAGCATCTTATTGAATTTTTATCCCCTGTATACCAGGCCATCTTGGATGCTCAACAAATATTTGTGAAATGAATGAATAAATATTTTAAGCAGCAAAAATTTATTGTGGAATTATTAAGATTCAGCCTTTGAAATTCTTACAGTCAATGGAGAAGACAGGTGAGACATGTTTAAAATATATGTATCTGAACAATATTAATATAAAAATATATGCATAAGTAATAGTTGATGACAGACATAAAGACTGAGAAAAATTAAGTTTTTAATAATTAGAGTGAGTAAAGTTGTCCTGGCAAATGCTATCTGAAATGTTTTGTAGAGGAGCAAGGTTTTGAGACATTGAATTTTGTGGCAAAATTCTAGGTTTTTCTAGTCATTTAGACAGCCAATTTACCTCATGCGTCAACAAAAGGCAGAATCCTATAGTGTTTGCACAGAAAAAGAGAAGAGTCCCATTTGAACCAAATAAATCTTTGCTTGTGTGCTGATTGTATGGAGAGCTGGCACACCAACAAAACACTGGGAGGTGGTTTTGTTAAGGGTCCTGCCTTGCCCGATCAACACAAGACTCCTAAAAGGAAAATAAAGCCTCCTTCTAAAAATCAATGCTTAAAAAAATAATGTTTTCCTAATAGCTGGTGCTTACTTAGTTTTACATTATAATTCAGAATCATGAGGTTACAATGATGTTAAGAAAATAAGGAAATAAGGATGGCATGTAGAAAGACAAGGTGCTAAGAAACACTACACTCTGAACTTTACCAGAAAACCCAACCCAAGGGAAATACAAGCGAGGGCAAAGGAACACTTTATTATAAAACAGTGGGTTTTCTAGCCTTGGAGCTTAGCATGGACATTGTGGAATTGGTTGGACTTCAGAGAACTCTCCTTGTTTGTCCTGTGCAGAGCTACCTAGTTCCAAATCAGAGGAGACCTGCTTTATTTCTATCCCTGCACAAACCTGAATCTCCAAAGTATGTTATGATCCTGTTATAGTTTGGATTCAAAATGTCCCCCCAAAAGCTCTTGGGCTAGGTAATGCAGCAATGTTCAGAAGTGAAAATATTGGATTATGAGAGCTCTGACCACGTGAGTGGATTTATCATTTGATGAATTAATAATTTGGATGGATTACTAAGTACTACCCGTAGGCAGGTGGGGTATGGCTGAAGGAAGTAGGTAACTGGGGGTGTGGCTTGGGGACTATGTCTATTCCTGACCCCCCCCCCCCCCCCCCCCCCCCCCCCCCCCCCCCCCCCCCC